GATAGATAGATAGATAGATAGATAGATAGATAGATAGATAGATGGATAGATAGTAGAAAAATCACACACGAACACCCATATAGATAAAAAACAGATTACAAAAATAGGCAAAGGGTGTTTAAATTTTAATCAGCGAGCTTCTGAGACGTACATCTCTTCCTCAGGCTTTCAGCTGACATGGAGTGGGGGGGGGGGAGTGCATATAATACAGACAGAGATAGAAGAAGCACCATCTCTTCCTGAGGCTCTCTGCATGTCAGCTGAAAATAGAAACCTGAGAACCTGATATATATACATCATTGATATTAATGTATCTCTATTGTGTACTCTTGATATATATATATATATATACCACCTCTCCACCATCTTTATCCACCCCACCCCACCCTTCCTTTTCTTGGCAAGCTGTAATCAACCAAATATCGAGCACTGAATGTTCGATTCCCTTCTTGAACTTTTAGCCTGCTCGGAAAATACCGACTAGAAATCTATAGACTGAAGACTATATATAACTAATAAATTTAGCCGTTTACTACCAACAGTATATATATATACAGCGCAGTTGCCATGGGGCTGTGGAGAAATATCACGTTAAGTTAAAAAACAAGACTACGGTCTAAGAACAAGCTAATGACCAGAAGCAATATGTGCATGGTGTTATGATGAAAGGGCTTCTTTTCTAAAGTTCTTAATCGCCTTCCACATGAGATGCATCCTTCACACCGACCTCGCTGGTGCGAACACTGCAGAACAGAGCAGATTTTGAGAGCCGTTCAATGGAAGAACAGCATCTGCCGCAGCAGAGCTCTGTCTATTATATTAAAATATTAATCTCTGTCTAATATTAGCCAAAGATGCACCACATGAATACCTTCTTTGTGGTTAACTTGTGTTTTTGCTAACGATCGATATCTCACTAATAAACACAGATTTGTAAGTTGCAATTTCCGCAGATGGCAACACCTCGTTAACGTATATCGTTATTTAGATAACGCAGAGCAGCACATATATACCAGAGATTCACCAGTTCTAAAATCAAATAGAGTTCGTTAAAATTACATATTTAAAAGTCAAAAGCGGAGACTGGCATATTAATTAAATTAAATTAAATTAAAAAGATTTATTTATCACCATAATTTGCAAAAATACAATGATGCAGAAAACATTATTTTGAAGGGTGAAGGGGTAGCGAAAGACCATAGGGTCATCAAGTCAGCTATCCTTCTATATGTACAGTAGACATAATATGGAGCGCCAGATATTCGCTGTATTGCAAATGAGGAAAATTTGAAATAAATTTGCAAATAAAAGTAAAGTAAAGGTGCAGTATGAGTATATACAGTGATAACATACAAGAACAGTAATCAGTTGACAGTACTGTAGGATACAATAAATAAATTTGTAAAGAAGAAGATATATGAGTTTGATAACTTCATATCGTAAGTGATGTAAATGCAGCGATACAGTACAAGCACAATACTGCACTAACTCAGAAGAAAGCACATGTGCAATAACAGAGATAACAAGTACATTGAGATTATAGTATGTCAGATTACAGTACTTGGTTGGTATCAAAGTGGTTTTGCGCAACTTATCAGATCGTGCGCTTTGAGTGGCGCCACCGTCGTTGTAATCAAACTGTAGTCGTTAGTTTTAAAACATTTCATAATAAAAAAAATATTTCTAATGGTGATTGAACCATGAAACTTTTTATGTAGCGTAATTATAACCTAAAAATAAGAGAACCTAGAGTAAACTCTCCCTTTAAGGTTGCTATTTTAGTATAGTTGACTATTGACGGAAATTGTTTGGTAATTGCAAACAAACAAAATTACATAGAAATATATAAACATACTAGTGTTAGTAGTATATTATTTAGCTTAGTATAGTATATAGAGACACTAGTAGTAGTATAGTCTAACTAGTATTATTATAGTATTGTATAGTCTAACCTAGATGGTCTAAACTTTTATTGCTATGAATGCAAACTTCACCGGCCCAAATTTATTTTAATGTTTTCCTATTGGCTATATTGTGAATTCGCGAGTATATATTCACCAAGCCACTTGTTTGGCGCGACAGTCGCTTACGAATCAACATGGAGTTGGTAGTAAACAGAAGTATTCTTCTCTGTGTATTTATAACGTCTTGCGTCGCGTGCATCGTCACTGCCAACTCTTTAAAATGGGCGGGAAGTAGCAGCGATGATACGCAGCGTTTTGGACATCTGAGAGCGAAGCGGCAGACCGCCGACCTAGTCTATGTAGGTACAACACTAGTCCGAAGTAAACTTCCATATTTTGCGTCTGAATCATCGTCACGTGAGAAACGGGCGGCCAACCTTGCAGACGAGTGCAGTGCGGCGCACGACGGCGAGGAACAAAAAGATGAAGATCTCAAGGCACTACTGGAGAAAGCCAAGTCATCTGTACGTATCAACGGTGCCATTTGATGTTGTTGTTGTTGTTCGTAAATACTAGTATTAACTAAGTATTATAATATACTCGTTTTTAATAAAATGACCAAATTGTCTTCATGGCGGCTGTTGTAACGCAAGTATGATTCGAATGACGATTTATGGTAATAATGGTGCAAATCCACTTTAGGCACCTTAGGTATCACGAAGTGATGCACAGATTTCTGTGTATCATCAACTGATGCACAGACTTTCCGTATATCAAGGAATGATGCAAAAACTCTAACCCTAACCCTAACCCTAGCCATAACCCTAAGGCCAAACAAAAAAATACCTTTGGTTCGGGTCACATGGATTGTGAAAATTAGGGTCGGTAGGTAGGCATAACATTTTTTTTTTTTTTAATTTTTTTCCTGCAAAAACATGGGTAGGCAGGAATATAAAAAAAAAATTTCACAAGTTAAATATAGGGTATACAGCTTGAAATGCAGGAGCCACGAGATGCAAATGACTTGCAGTTGCATGTACCATTGGCATTGCTGCAAGTCATGACATTGTTTTCAAAATGTGAACACCAGTCGTTTACTGGTGTTAGGAATCGCTCCAAAAACGGAGCTTGATTAATCGTCCCTTTGAACAAGCGAGTAACCGAAGTGTAAACGGCTCTGCGGCCGCGTATAGCACGATAGCATGCGTATACTATATAGTACGCGATCGATCGCGTACATCAAAGCCGGCCGCTGTGCCATACGACCTTCAGGCTCTGTTTATGAAGTAGCCGGCCGGCCCGGCCCAGGCTCTATACGACTGTTTCACGTTGTAGGATTCTAGGAAACGTAGGTAGGAACTGTTAATTTCACTTCGCGCCAACGAAGTTCTGTTTATAAATATTTTGGAACTCTCCTTAGGTAAATAAAATGACAAGAGTCGGATATTTGAATATGTATGATCGGCAGGCGGTATCTTTGAATTTTATTTTTTCTTGAAACCCTCTAAAAGTGACCGCAGTCGCACATTTTATCACTCCGAAATGTGAAGTCGGGCGGGTGACCCGAACCAAAGGTAATTTTTAGGTCGGCCTAACACACTTCGTGATACATAAGCCTAAGGTTATACTTTATGACTTAGGGTTAAGGTTAGGGTTTTTGCATCATTCCTTGATATACGGAAAGTCTGTGCATCAGACACAGAAATCTGTGGCTAAGGTGCCTAAAGTGGATTTGCGCCAGAATAATTTCTGTTTTAATAATTGTTCTGTCATACACCAACATCCTTTATTTAAGGAATTTATTTCGAAATCATTGCTCAAAAACGCACAATCTGAAAAAATATAGTGAAATATGATCTCACCTAATAGTGAATATATTACCAGGGGTAGAAATTTACTTTTGAACAAGGGAGTCCATTGCCTACCCTCAAAAAGCGGGAGTCCGCAGCAAAATGAGGGAGTCCGCAGTCTGCAGTTCAAAACTAAAGCATAAACAACAATAACGCATGTGCTTATTTTGAAGATTCGTGCAGTGCACGTCTGCCAAAATTTCTTTGGACATTTGCTGTAAAAATACTGTAATTCTGCTAGGCCGTGTTCTGGAACGAACTATAGTTAGCATAGCAGAATTTTCAGGGAGTACGGACTCCTACATATGTCAAATCAGAAAGTCCGACAGTAAATCAGGGAGTATTTGACTCCGGGCTCGCGTTAATTTCGCACCCTGTATTACTGATTACACCAACTTGAAAAACACTATAAGAATTTATGCTCTTATAGCATAGAAAATTGGAATTTAACACGCTGTAAGTAACACCATGGTATCTTTGATTATAGCGACAATTAATTTGCAAATGGCACCTTCAAAAGAAGTGCACCAATAGTGCACCTAATTCAAACAAAATGACGTGATTCTGCGTAGTTTACTCCGTTTCTGTTTTTAAATTGGCTGATATCTCGCACTATCGCGAGATAGTCTGAGATTCGCAAGAAATGGCAGCGGAAATCAAAACAAGTAATAAAAATTTGAATTGTGCATGCTTTGGTGAATATAGCTAAGTACGAAGCTTCTAAGACAAGTTGGCGTTACCCTTACTCTTGAAAGCAATAACAGTAACTATCGTAAAAGTGGCCAAAATGCGAGACTAGTTGGAAAATAATTTTTTTTCGAAATCTGGTAAAGTTTCTGTCTTGGACCACAGCCAACTACGCATTGCTATCGTGTGAAACGTTTCGTCACTGTATAGACCTGAATGTTTCCTTTTAGTAATGTGGCGGCAAATTTAAACAATGTTGAAGTAGATTTCTTGGACCTCGTTACAGTTTCCGATGGTGAACGAAAGCAGCTTTAGCATGTCTCTCACGTGGGCTGGCAATGGAGTAATCCTAGCTTACACAACCTCGGAACGAAACTTGCACAAACCGGATCCACCAAAAATCTACAGAAGGTATTTTGCATTTCAGCAGCATTTGTATAGTTGACCTCAAGTATCCTGATTAAGGTTGGCACAGAGATGCCAACCACTACGATTTATCCGTATTTTATACGAATTTCGTTTGTATTTTGACCACTACGACCAGTTTGCATACAACTACGATTTTTATTACGATTGGAAAAAAATTATTTTTATGATATTTCAAGTGTTTTGTTTCAGTGTTACATTGATATAACATGATTAAAAAGAACTACATGTATTTAGCAGCAAATATCAGTGTGAACTTAATATCATTTTGGGTCCCAGAATGCAGGAAATTGCATCTCGGAATCAAAAATTTTTCCGGGGGGGCATGCCCCGAACCCCCCTAATATACTTGGGTCACTGCGTGACCCTCGGACTACAGATTGCCGATATCCTCACTACAGTTTGCTCAGAAAAGTGTTGGCATCTCTGTTGGCACCAGAGATTGCATGGCAGGTCCTCAATGGGGTAGAGCGGCTAAACTCACACTGCTGGTGAAGGGGATGCAATGTCGGTTTAAAACTAATATTTTTCTGTTTCTCCTCGGTGACGATTTTTCCTCTGACATTGGTGGTGGGAGGGTGGCTGTAGCCCCTGCTCCCCACACATGCCACCTCTGTGTGATGATCAGGAGGAATGGTGATGAAATATGAGTTGAATTTTAAAGTACTCCCCCCCCCAGATGAATCCAACTTTGTGTTCTACATTTTCTCATTGTTTTTCTTCCAAATATCCAGCCTAGAAATTAGGTAGTGAACATTGTGAGCAGTTTGGTATTTAATGAGTCACCTCGTAACATAGTGGGAGTATGTATTATATTTCTTCATCAGTGAAGACAACGGAAGAACGTTGAAAGTGGTGGATAGCTTTAATGGTCTCTCCATCAACACATACCTGGGCTTCCAGAAAAGGATTACTGATACCGAAGGGGTAAATACCTGACCACCTGTTTATGATATAAGAAAACCATAATGACTGCAAATAACCATGTTTTGTCTGGAGAAATTTGTTGTATTTTTGGTGACTAGAATTGTTGTAAATTAAAATGAGTTGTGATTGAAATGAGTTTGAATGAGAATGGGAAAGCCATAGTGAAGGCATTAACTAAAGAATCTGTGATTTCTACATTTGCAGGTAATTTTTGTTGCTGAACAAAAGCCAAACGACCACGGCTCCACATTATTTATTAGCAGTAATTCGGGAAAAACCTTCACGACAGTGCCAGTGCCATTCCTGCTGCAGGAGCCTCTGATTTTCCATCATAGCAAGCCTGATTGGCTACTAGCAAAGTCAGCTGATGCCTTGGTGAGCACTGATTGGCCAGCCTTTGATATTTTGCTTTCTCTGTCACAATCGTCTACCTTTCATTAAAAAAATGTAGCTATCTATCACTAGTATAGTTATTCCATCGTTTTTTTGTTTCAGTGTCGCAATTATTTATGGTGTCAAGTTGGTGGTGAATTGCAAATTTTTGTTTTTAGCGACAGATCTGGCTGTCACAAAATTTTGGCTCCACTTGGACATGCATTAATGAGTACACTACCGACGTCAAATGGTAATTGATAGCGTTGGGATGTTATGATAATGGAGTCTCATTTCACAGGAGACAGATAGCATTGACATTCATCTATTGCAGTTTGCCTATTCTCATATTATAGCATATTCATATATATAGCGTTCTCATATAGCATATTCACAAATATATATCTAGTGTTCTCATATTATAGCGTATATAGCATATTATTGCCTATTCTCATATATAGCGATTGTGTTGAATAGAGGATTATAGAGGGCGACTTGTGTTTGCAGGGGTCGCCAGTGTTGTGACAGTAATGAGACCATATTTATCATGACGGACCAGATGGGTAGTGAATACACTAACACCACTCTGTACAGAAGCACTGATCTTGGTGAAACTTCCAAAGGTAATCGACGATCAAAATTGCTTCTAGACTACTAGATTATTAAATGTCACATTTGAACTTTTTATGGGCTGATGTGCATAAGTAGTTGTATTAGTTCACTTGTCGAGCTATGTAGATTTAGACAAAAAAATGTAACATGTTTTTACACGACAAACGATATGCAATATCCACAATAGAATTTGCTCCTTAATTGTGATTCAGGGATTCTGTTCAAGGTCAGCATCCAGCATCCTCATCAATATTCGGCTACACTGCCGCAGCATTTTCCATGGTCTCCTTTGATAAATCTGGTTTGCTTCTCCCCAGTTGGTATGAAAGGGGTGATATGCCAGCGTGCGTGTCGGGAATAGTGGGGTATGGTGGGGTTGAAATTTGTCGATGAGTGGCTAGGGCTCTCACATGCTAAATTTGTATCGTTTTAGTGTTGCTGGACAGAGTTCATGGACTGGCAGTCGAAGGAAAGTTCATGTACGCCTCTATTCTGGATCAACACGTAAGATTAGTTTTCTCTCTTGATCCATAAATAAACCCCCATTACTTCCATTGATTTCAGTTCATGTTTGCCCGGCGCGCGAAATATGAGTACCGACGTTTCATCCCAAGTCGTCGCCGTTGAATAGCATTCGATGTGACAACTTGATGTGGTAGTCACGCATGTGAACATTTGTTTAAACAACATGTAGGGTGAAGCCTATGAGCTTGTATAACCACTATAAACTAAAGGTCTCAACACACACACGCACGCACGTATGCACACTGTGTCGGGTAAGGAGTTTGTGCAGTGCGATGCTGCCCATGTTTGGCTGGCTCGGTGTCACTCACCTTCTCGTACACTCTCTTGGGCAGGGATCACAGGACCGTGCTCTTGTCGTGTCGACAGATGGTGGCGACACCTGGGACGAGGCTCAGGTACCAGCAATAAGGCCAGAGCAGGTAATGAAGATGTTACTCGTGTTTCTCTTCAAATTCATACACTTATAATTTATACATTTATATGTGCAATCATACAATTTGGGGTGAATTGCCCGATTGCCTGGCAGGCTTTCTAAAATTTCTTGAAAGAAATTACCTTCTTATCTTACCATAACCTTATAATTATACCCTAGAATGCGATGGTGGGAATTGCGGTGTTGTGTGTAGAAGTAGTGTAGTCGAAGGGAAAGACAAAAACATTGTTCGCAGCGAATAACTTTAATCGATATCGACAATGATTGCAACTCATGTGGTGGCTGATGGTAAAGAGATCCTGGCTGGCCTGTATCCACCTTTACACGAAGGGTGGCTCTGCTCCTTGACCTCACGTAGCGGTCTCTCCTTTTTGACTACTGGACAGCTCTGTACTAACCCATCGTTTGTCATTTGTCCCTTTCCATCTCTCCTTGGCCATTACCGATTTGTTGAGTTTGGATTCGTGACTATTGTTTCCTTAATTGTCTACGCTTACATTCTGCCATCTAACACCCATGACATCGCTATAATTCCACGAGACATGCGTCACACGTTTAGCCCCGTCTCTTTGATAACCAGCAGTGCGTTTACAATGCCACAGTAAATTTTTATTTGTAGTGGTTTTATTTCACACATTTGCCTAATGTACTCATTGTCAATAGGTGGCACCAGCTGCTGCCACGAGATTTATGTCACAAATAGCAGCCTTCCTATAGGTGGTGATGTACATCACGTGTTGCGTTGTAATCAGTATTAGCAAGCAGATGGCATTACAGCAATCATCTGTTGTAATCTGCTGCCATCTGTGGGGGAATATAGAGGGTGGGGCATGATGCTCGTTATTTGTTTTGCTTTCAGTTTTTCACGATTCTCGATGGAAGTGAAGGAATGGTGTTTCTACACGTCGACGAATTGGGAAGTGAGTATCGATGACTTCATTTCACTCTTGTGTTGACCCACCCCTATTTCCATCCCTCATTCCCATCCCACTATCTGCACCTTCCCCCCCTCATTCCCATCCTCTTATCTGCATTCACCCATTCCCATCACCTTACCTGTGTCCACCTACTCTCACTGCCCTATGTGCATCTATTCACCTAGTCCCCTTATTTGTGTCCACCTACTCCCACCGCCCTATGTGCATCTATTCACCTAGTCCCCTTATTTGTGTCCACCTACTCCCACCGCCCTATCTGTGTCTAGTCACTCTAGTCCCCTTATCTGTGTCCACCCATTCCCACCGCCCTATGTGCATCTATTCACTCTAGTCCCCTTATCTGTGTCTCCCTACTCCTATGCCGCTTTCTGTGTCCACCCACTCCCACCCCCTATCTGTGTTTACGCACTCCCATCCTCCTATCCCTGTCCACCCACTCTAATTAAACTATCCATCTGAGCATGGTTATTGTGCCACCGTTGTATATTCTTGCAAGGTCAATCAAGCTAGACCAGTTTTACACATGCCTTCAATGACCGCATGCCAAATTGTTGACTGCAGGATTTCGTTGCCAAGAATTGTTTTTTAGAATGTCCGATCGCAACAGTTGGCGCGATTGTGAAGGTAGCCTGCTCGCGCATTAATGTCAACGCTTCATTGCAGCCTCAGGCAAAGGCACGCTCTACACTTCTGGGTGCAGTGGCCTGGTCTTCTCTGAGAGTCTGCGAAACCATTTGGTGAGTCACACAAATCTTGTGTCCATCCTTGTGTTAGATGTGGTAAATTAACAAAAGGTGGTAGCATAATATGAATTTCTCTGTGTTAGTAATATAGCAGAGCAATATCAGCTTATTTCCAAGGGGGAGAATACAGATCAGGTGCAGTGAGCTATTACACCTAAAGCTACCAAAACTGGCACGCAAAATATAAACCTAGCTAAAGGTCAATTGGGTTTAAGGGCCCCATAGAAAATGTGATAACCATTGTTAGACTTATTGCATTTTTCACATTTAATTCAGCTACAAAATAATAAACGTTAACTAATCGTATATCGATTTGTCATAATTTGCTTTGGTAATAATGGCTAACATGTGCTGTTTCTATGCAGTATACCAAAAGTGACAGTATCACTGACTTCCACAAAGTCAAGTCAATGACCGGGGTATATCTGGCCAGCCAGATCATGCCAGGTAATTCCTCCCACGCAATGCGCACCTATTCATTATATCACTGGCTTTTTGGGCCAACAACAGCTGGGAACTGCACAGGTGTCTGGCGGGCCGTCAATCTCTCATGCGGGATCTATTTTCAAGTTGCGTGAAATACGTGAGCGTCTTCGAACCGATCGAACACTCGCAGAATTGTCTATCGTTGGTAGAAAGTGCAGCCTGTTTCTCTTCGCCTGCAGACTCTGGTGTTAGAACAATGATCACGTACAACAGAGGTGGAAGCTGGCAGCAGATCGATCAACCGCACAAAGGCGTTTGCAGCTCAGCAAAGACGGTACGCCCACAGTTACCACATGTTCACAACGTTGATCACTATCACAACGTGACGATCAACATGTCTTATTACAATGTGACAATCGACATGTCATATTACAATGTGACAATCGACATGTCATATTACAATGTGACAATCGACATGTCATATTACAATGTGACAATTGACATGTCATATTACGATGTGACAATCGACATGTCATATTACAATGTGACAATTGACATGTCATATTACAATGTGATAATCGACATGTCATATTACAATGTGACAATTGACATGTCATGTTACGGTGTTACGTGTAATTATAAAATTATATAACTATTGTAATTAATTATATTACAACGCTTTGTAGTTGTATAGTCGGTGGGAGGCTGTGACAGCAGTGTGATGTGTGGGTTGATGTGGGTTGATGTGTGGGTTGATGTGGGTTGATGTGTGGGTTGATGTGGGTTGATGTGTGGGTTGATATGTGGGTTGATGTGTGGGTTGATGTGGGTTGATGTGTGGGTTGATGTGGGTTGATGTGTGGGTTGATGTGTGGGTTGATGTGGGTTGATGTGTGGCCGCGTGTTGCAGGCATGTAACCTGCACATTCATGGACCGTTCAGCATGTCGCGCAACATTGTCGTGCCGTCGCCACCGCTCAGTGTTGAAAGCGCTCCCGGTCTCATCATCGCCCACGGTAGGTCGCTTTTACAGCACTGTGCTGCTTGCCGGGCTACCAGGTCAATGCTGGTGTTGAACCCTGCTTTCTCTCGCGTGCTCTCTCTATCTCTCTCTCTCTCTCTCCCTCACTCCCTCACGCTCCTCTCTCTCTCTCTCTCCCTCCCTCACTCCCTCACTCTCCTCTCTCC